CGCCGCCGGTGCCGCTCCATCCCCCGCTCCCCCGGAAGGCCGGTCCCGGGGCGGGGCGGGCGGCAGGAAGGGGCAGGGCCGATCCCGGCGCACAAAGCCCGGGGGCCGGCGGGGTCCGTGCTGCGGTCGCGGTCGTGTCGCGGCGCCATGGGGCTGGCGGCGGCGCGGGGCTGGGCGCTGTCCCCGCTGTCGCCGGGCCCGGCGGAGCGCAGCCGGCCCTACGCCGTGCTGCAGCACCAGAACCTGGGTGAGGAGCGGGGGGCAGCGGGCACAACCCCGCCACGACCCTGCCGGGGGATCGCGAGTTGGTCAAGCAGTGTTTAATGAATGTTTTGTCTTTTCCCGCCGCAGTGCTGCTGGGCAGCATCCTCAGCGCTCTCCTGCTCACCATCATCCTCATGGCCATCTGCGTGTACCGGCCCGTCCGGCGGCGGTAGCGGCGAGGGACCCGCCGGGATATCGAGGGAATGCTGCATCCCACCTGGTTCTCCCACCTGGCATCCTCCATCCCAGCCCTGCCGCTTCTCCAGCCTGGTACCCTCCATCCCGCCGCTGCTCCGGTCCCGCCCGCTTCTCCCATCCGCTCCCCACCATCCTCCCGTCGGCTGTTGGGGATGCCCTGAGGATGCGAGGGTGGATTTTCAGCCCGTGCTGTATCACATGGCTCCATCGTGATGTTGCATCCAACAATGGTCCGGCCGGGGGCTGGAAATCGCCCCCTTCCTCAGCGAACAGACTCCCGGAGCTCCTGGGGGCGTGTCGGCAGCAAAYCCGTCTGGTTTGGAGCGGCTTCCTCCGAAATCACAGCTTTTTGGCGAGGCTGATCCGACCCAAAATGTGCTCGAGAGCATCCCCGGGGCGGGCAGGCACCCGGGGCCTGCGTTGGCAACAAGAACAGGGCCAGACTGGGGACATTGTCCGAGGAGCAGCTCCACGTGCTCGGTCACACCACGTCTGCTTTTTACTTTCTGATTAATTCAGTTCCTTGTTTGAATGCTGAGTCCTRGGGGTTGGATGGRGCTTGGAATAACCTKGGCTAGYGGGGGGTGTCCCTGTGTGTGGCAGGGGGTGGGACTGGATGGGATTTAAGGTCCYATTCAAAAATAATCCAAAGGCCAAAGCTCATTGACCCATCCCAGCGGTGGGTGGGAGGGTCTGGTCTGTTCTCTCTGATGCATGACCCGATCCTGGTGTAGCTCTCCCGGGCCAGGCTTGTTATTCCCAACATTATTGCTTTAACTCCTGGCTAGAAAACCCCAAATAGCCTCACATCCAACATCAGCCCTGCTGAACCTGTTGGAACTGGGGTGCAGGTGAGGGATGCCAGCATCTCCTGGTCATTGTCCTCCTGGAAACAGGAGCCTCCAAAGGTCTGCAAGCCAGGCAGCTGCTCTGGAAGTGTTTGAGCTCCAGCCAGACSCATTTTATGCAGTTTCAGTAACAAGTGTTTACACTGAATCCCACTTCCATACGGATGCTGCTATTTTGTTTTGCACTGCTACAAGTAGTAACTGGATTTTACTAATTATTACTTTGATATTTAACATAGGGGTGTTTTGCTTAGTAATTTATTTAGAGTTTTAAAATGTAACTTCCTGACCAATTGTTGTTCACCTGTTCTCTAAGTCCTTTTGCTGCATCCAAGGTGTTTTCTGTTCTATTTGAAGGACACTGAGTGCTGGCATTGAACAGGGCTTTTCTTTCTGTTCAGTGAAATGACAGAGTGAGCCTGGCCTCGAACAGATGGAGTTATTAATCCTAGAGTGAGGAAGCAAGGCAGCACGGTTCTATTGCTTTCTGCTCCTCCTTTTGCTCTTGTGTCCCTGATTTTTCTCAGTCCTTCATCGCTGTGAAGCCTGGCCTGCAGCCTGTGCTGCTCGTGGGGGTGGATGGTGAAGCTCACAGCCCCAGCTYGGCATTCCCAGGAGCAGAATTCCTGTTTGCTCTCATTCCTCACTCCCTGCTCTGCCTCTTTGTACAAATAAAACGCTCAGTAAACAATCCAGGCTCTTATTTATTCATGGCYGTGCTGTTTGTTATTAACTGGGCTGTAGCTCCAAAAAGGGATGAGGTTGTCCCAATTCCCACCTCTGGTCCCCTCACAGCTCCAACCTTATTTCCAGTAGTGAAGGAATGGGAATGTTGGGGAATGTTTCCATGGATATTTGTCAGCCAGGAGCTGTTAACAGCACAATGAAAGCKCATCCTACAACTGTTGTGCAGTTAGCAGCAGCTCAGCTACGAATCAAAAACTCAGCCAAAGCAGTGGAAGAAGTGTTTCCAAATAAAGAAAATCATGAATTGCTGCTGTAAAAAGCCTTGAAATGGGGTCAAAAGCGCAAAAAAAGCACACACTCACTCTTGCTTTCAGGAAAAAAACAGCGTGAATTTAAAGAACTCTTCAAGCTGGTTGTAGTTTTAGAACAAGCTACAAGTGTTTGTAACTGAGCTTTCTTACATCAGCCTCAAGCTGCCTCAGARAGGCTGGATTCTTGTTACACAACAGTCTTAATATTTAACATACTCAGAACCTTCTGCTCCTCTGTTACAAGAAGATGCAGAGAGAAATTAATAGTTACTCTCCTGCCTTTCACCTGTGTTGTAGTGATTGCCCTTTTTCAAGAAAGGGAGATTCAAAAYTTGGCTGAAAATGTAAAAAAAATGGTTCTGGGGATTATATGTCTGATTCACACTAAACCAGAACAACCTTTGAGAATTTCGTAGGTGATGATGTCACTTTAATGTACAAAAATACAACAAACAGGTGGATAATTAGTAAGACTCCAAATAGTGTTAGAAAAAATACCTGTGTGTGGTGTAATGTGCAGTACCTTTGTTTTTTCTYCTAGCACATAGAGRGCATCMATCTTACACTGAGTGGGTYAAAAGCCAGCCTTTAAGAGYAGCAGCACCTGGCTGAGGGAAGCAGACCCTCCTAGCTGAGCTGGAATGATACAAATGTCAAAGAAAGCAAAAAAAAAAAAAACCCAAAAGCAAATCCAATTTATTTTACAGTTCCAGACTAAGAAGCAGGAGCATAACAAAACTTCAACTGAAAGTGCTCAATGTTCTTTAGTTTAAATATAAAACCAGAACAAGTCAGCTTGAAAAATGCTATTTTTACCCCACTTGTAACCTTTGAAATGCTTAGCAGAAGACAGGCAATGCCAGGCAGACGGGTTTGTAAAGGCAACAGCACTCTTTATTCCCACTGGAGGAATGCCCACGGCTCCATCTCCTACCTCCCACCCTGTCAGGAGCTCAACACGAGGCCTATTCCCTTTTCCCAACTCTAAGAGTCATCCCCTTCTCAAAAAAAAGACATTCCAAGCCAGCCCACTGCCCCTGWGCAGGGCAGTCCCCATTCCTGCTGCACCCAGGAAGTTGTTTTTAGGGGTGCAAACTGTCTCAAGGAACAAAACCAGTGTGGAGAGGGCAGTCCTAGTGTACAGTGAAAGAACCGTAATCATTTCCTATGTAAAACAATKAATTATTTGTCTAAAATAGGGTTCCAAGTTATGAACTAACCCCCTGGTAGTGATTAAGTCCATTTTATGGTGATTTTACACTGGTTAATTCATAGTTGGTCACCCAGAACTACCCTGTTTAGCCTGAGRAACAGGAGCTGTGTTAGGAGCAAGCTCAGAGCAGCTGTACCAAAGGTTCCTCCACTCCTGCCAGCCAGAGCAGAGGGATATTGCTCACATTTAACAACTGTAAGGCTTTCCTGTGGCTGTTCATCGTGTACTTGTGGAGTGCACTTGAGAGTCACAGTGTGAGTACTGTAAACACCGACAGGAGTGCAGATAAAAGAGCTACAAAGATCCTGTATGGCCAAAAACCTGAGGAAAGCTGGTTAAAACAGACCTAGGAATCGTTACAAGACTGGTTTGATGAGTGTAGGCCTAGTGGCTTGGTTTAAAATCAATAAAAATATTCAGGTAAAAAAATAGATGTATTCACATGAAGGATAAGCATCGGGGTTTCAAAAAGCAACACACGTTTCCCTTGCAGAATTAAAACTTCTCTTCCARTAAGGATACACTGAAATCTCACCTGAATTCTTTTCCTGGTTGCATTTAGCACCCACACTCAGCCATGCACACCAAGAGATCCCAAAGAAGCACCTGTATCTATCCCTTAATTTCTTGCTGCCCTCTGACCACAGGAAGGAGCTGGTTTGGAATCACTGCAGAAAYTGCTGCTGTACTGGACAGATGGTCCCATTTCAGCATCTAAAATTTTACTGGCTACTTGTTTTGTCCTTTTTCAGAAAGCACTAGTTTAATCTGGAGCTTGGATGAGCTGTTCAAGTATAAAATTATCCCTCTTAAGCCAAAAATCTCAGTAACTAGAGGAGAGATAACCACATCTAAAACCAAAACTAACAGAAAACATCTGTCAGCATGAAGAACTACCGTGTGTGTACAGGCAGGGAGATGTTCTCCCATGAAACAGCTGAAAAAACAGGCAATGGMTTTGAATTATTGAGAAATAATGAAGCAGATGAGTATTTCTTTGGTAAGTAATGAAATTTCCCTCCTGAACTCCCCATAAAATCAGGCCTTCAAGCTTTACTGCAATCCTACGTCCTGATGCMAAGCAAAATTTCCATCTGCTCTTCAATAAATAAGTTTAGATAAAAACATTTCCTTCAAAGCTAAGACTGCATGGYTGGGGAGCCAGATGTGGAGTCCTGTGATCTGGAACTCCCCCAAACAAAAAGAAATCAGGCTTTTGCAGCTGATGCCAACTTAGAAGGCAGGTAAAATGTTTCCTTAAGMAATCCAGGAGTGGTCTTCAGACTGACAGCCCTGAAAACCTCCAGTTTTACACAGATTTGGTCATCCCTACTTCAGGAGGTCACTGAGGAGCTATTTTTCCACCAGAGAGAGCCGTAAAACTTGCTGGAGCTCTGCATCTTCCTTCTCCTGGCGCTGCTTCTCCTGTTCCTCCTGCTCCCGGACAGATAATTCCATGGCAAGCTGCAAGTCCTTCTCAAAGCTGGAAGTTTCAATGGGGCTGCTGCTGTGGGAGTTCCCTGCTCTCGTCAGAAAGCTCTCCTGCAGTGCCCTGATGGAAAAGAACAACTCTGAGAAGTAAAAGAGACAGAGCCTGTCTCATATTCCTTGCAATGATCCTTCCTGGCAACTGTTTTAGACTCACAAACCTGAAAATCTCTCCCAGAGGGAAGAAAACAGTTTAAGGATATGAGAGCAGCTGTTGTAACACCTGTAAAATTCCCAATGTCAAACCYTGATTCCTATGAATATTTCACAGATACCAAGAGTTCTATTTTCAATAGGCCTCTAAAAGCATCCTCACCTGGTTTAAAGGATTTGCCATGTACAGAAGAACCCAGAGGATTCACTTCTTTGTTTCTTTGCACCTAACTGCAGAAAGACTCCACAATCATCAGAGCCCATTTAGAAGTATCCATTAAATCTACGTGATGAAGTTTTTAAGGATTACATGAGGATTTTGGAAAGAAAGAAAGAAGAGCTGCCTTGAAGTGTGCAGCCTCTAATAACCAAACATTCAACCCACAGGGATCAAAGTCAGAGTTTTAACATCAGAGAAGGACTGGGTTTGTCTGCTGGGTAAAGAATCTTCCACGTGCACAGAGCAGTCCCAGGGGTGGGAAGAACTACACTATATAAACCAGGGAGGCCCAGTTTGGAGCCCTTGATCCTTGGAAAAGTAAAAGCTGGAAGACACAAGAAGAGACCTCGAGTTTTTTGCATCTGCTACTCACATCCACCAAAACAATTACCAAATTGTTTCATGCTACTGCTGGGGGTATTTTTGCTCTGTCACTGCATGGCTTGATGTGAAAAAAGGTACTTACTTCTGATACTGTAAATTGAAGTCCTGGGAATATCCAACTGCTCCGTTGGAATGCACCCCCAATTCCTAGAGATGGGGGAAGACAGACAGTTCCACAGCAGTTATCAGATCTGCAGGGTAACTCACTGAAAGTAACCCTTAAACCCTTATTTCTTCTTTGAAAAACATTATTTTTATCTTCTGAGGTCTTTGGAAAACTGATCCTACACTGGTTTCCTTCAGCTCRTGCTGCACAGTCCTTGCCCAAGCTGCCACTGCACAGATCCCAGCACTTACTTTATTTCCACCAGATTCCAACAAGCTCTGCTGGATGGCAAACTGCATGATCTCATTATCCTCATCCTGCACGTGGATGTTCCTGCCAACATCCTGGACGTGGTAAGATTTGGGGATCTCAAACACTGACTGGTCCACCTCRAAATCAGCACCTACAGAAGCCAAACAAATGGTGCAATGTTTGTAATGAGTTGCAACTTAAAGGATTCTCATTAATATTTTTGCAGGATAACACATTACAGCTAGCCCTGTTCCATTCTATTCATTCCCTGCAGTTCAGCTTCTCTCTCCTCTGGCCATTCCATGGACAGGGATGTAAAAAGGTGGGATCCCTGCACCTTTCCACCCCTTACCTGCATCACTCTGTGCACCTTCAGAGGAGGTGCTCTCAGCTGTCCTGCAGCTGTTGACATTTTCAAAAGTAATTCGGGCATTCAGCACGTGAAACAGGGGAATTTCTGTAAGAGTACAAGATTTCTGTCAAAATGAGAACCCTTATTCACTTCYATACCCACATCAAACCCTTACATGTTTATGAGATATATTCCACAACAGCTTCCTTATGGTGACAAAGCTCAGAGCCACTCACTTCACCAAGGTGGCTTTAGTTATTCCCAATCTCTCTCTAAATCTCTTATTTTAAAATAAGATTTGCCAAATTTAAGGCACTGAAGCTAAGAGGAAAGAGGTTGACAACCCCTCATTCTCACTGAAATGACACTGTCTTTAAAATGATATTTCTGAATTGTTGATTCAAAATTTGGCTTCTGTGACCCCAGATGTACAAGACAATGTTTTAGGTTTCAGTGAGGTGTTTGTAAATAATATATTGCAAACCCAAAGGAAAAAATGGACAAGATGGTACAATAAAAATTGCTAAGTATTACCAATTTTGACAGGAAATCCTGGTGGAAAATCCAGAGTGATGAAATCCCTAAGTCTTGCAAAATGAGCACTAGTTCTGGCCATCAGGTCAACGATTGGAGTGACTTGTTCCACAAGAGACAAGGGGAACTCTTCGCTCATCCACAAGGCTGCTTTAAATCTTAAAGACAAAGTAGGATAAAAATATCCTAAAATCACAGTTTAGGAACAGATGCAAAGCAAAACAGGCAGTTGGGCAGTGACAGGGGTTAGTAACAAGTAACAGCACCAGTCCAAATGTTTGCTTTGACTCAGTGGAATTAAAAATAGATTATAGCTGAGTACTTCAAGAACTCTCTTCTCATTAATTGTGAAAACTAGGGAGAAAACCACACTGGATATTTATAAAAATAGTTTCCAGGGATTAGATAACTGGGAARAGACAAACTAGAAAACAGTTAAAGTGCTGTTTCTCACTTCTGTGTTCTAGTGGTGACTTCCTTTGGTCTTCCTATGTCTCTGCCTTGCAAATCAAATTCTGGGTCGAAGTATTCCTCCAGAGTAATAGCAGTGGGATTGTTGGCTGCAGCATACTCTGTTGTCCTGGATGTCTAGAAGGAAAGAGAGGAAAAAAACAACCCAATACATACTGAACAGACAGTGGCTACTACAAAAAACTTTGAAGTTCCCTTTGGTGAAGTAACCCCTTCCCTATTTCAGACACACAGCCATAAATACCAGCTGYTTTTAGATTGGTTTTACTGAGGGTAAAAACCTCCAAGCTTTTTAGAGACAGGAAAAATCTGCTTAGATGCTTTAAAGCTGGAAACCAACCAGGAATGCACACATGAGCCCTAGCATTCCCAGGCTCCAAATCCTTTACTAAAGGCAAGACTTAGATGGGGTATTTGAACCCAAAATMTCTAGATCACTGTAAATGTGCAGTGCCATCCTGACAGAGAGCCAGCAAATCCATTATTTACTGTTCACAGAAGCACGGGAGTTTCTGAAACCATGTGGAATYGTGGAATGGTTGAGCTTGGAAGGGATCTTAAAGTTCACCTATTTCCAACCAAACAAAAACATCCTCGGGGGAAATGAAAACCTCAAAATCAAAACTGCTGCCAAACTGAGGTGACTCCACACACCAGGAATTCCTACAGGCACAGTAACCTGTGCTGACATCAGACACTCACCTCAGCACCACATTCATCCTCCACTGTCCCCAGGAATGATTCCAGAGGGCTCCTGTCAGCTTCAGATAATAGGAGGGAAAACAAAAGCAGCCATTAGTATTAATTAGCAGTAAAATTGGCACTCAGGCCAGGCTTCCAACCCAAAGGGAAGTTGCTCAGATCCCCTCTGAGCTTCACCAGGCAAGCCCAGGACCTACAGCTGACAGTATAACACAGAACAGAGCAAAGATTTTTTCAGTGGTTTCTATGATTAGCAAAAACCTTTATGAGTCTTGGTGCCTCAGTGGCCCGAGGRTAGGAGAATTTCCACATAAAGTAAAGGTGGCTGGTCACCCTTTACTCCAATTCAAATACCAGAAGAAATTAGTGGACCAAAACAAACAAAAATTCCAAGCAAACAAAGCCTCAGTGAATCTTGTATCCACAGCCAAAGTGAAGTGAGGGTAGGAATACATTCCAGAGCTGAAAAGTGCAGCCTTTTAAAACAGTCAGGAAAATTTCAACAGGTTTGAAGAGCTCTTCTTTCCTCTAAATAAAGCTGGGATAAAACCAGGTTCATTTGTAGGTTAAGATTGAAATACCAAGCTGCCTCACACACAGAACACATCAAAGCAAAGCAGGGCAAAGCCAGCAAGAAGAGAATTTCCTTGTTTGTCTGCCCAGTTCTTCAGTCACACAGAGGAGATGTCAGAGTGCCAAAGGGTTCTATTTATTTCCAATTTTCCTATGGGGAAGATACCTTTATATCTCCTCTTCTCCTCTTCTGTTAAATGTTCTGTTCTGATTCGTGTGATCACGTTCACATTGTTTGCCATGTAGACCTTACAAAAAATATGGGGACAAAAACAAAACAGCATCACAGTTTAAAAAAGAGAAATCTCTAGTAAAACATCATGTACACAATACTAACTGAACCAGCCTCGACATCAGATAGGCATTTCCAAGAGATTTTAAGAGGSAATGGAAAAAGAAAGTCAGGGAACACTATTTCTAAACAAAGATTAGTTGTAAGACCTCAGAAATGACATTTAGTAACAGTTTAATTCTGCAGGAACACTAAGGAACCCCTGTCCAGCTGAACAGCCCTGCAGTCTCACCAGAAAAACACCTTCAGCTAAATGTAAAAGCTACTCAGTACCTATTCTTCTGGTGAATAAAATTACATTATGAAAATGAAAATGTCATTGTTAATTATAATTRCATATAATCAATGAAAATGTAATATAGTGCACCATTTTCCAGTAAACACACTGTGAACCAAGGAAATTAAATCTTGTGATTCACAACCTAAATTCCTACCACAGTAAGGCTGTAAAGCCACCTTTGAAAATATTTCACTGAGGTGAAACAGAGGTTAAAACCAGTATCAGGTAGAACCATCCTAAGCAGCTGAGACTCAGGAGCAGGACAGAGCCCAATTCCTGAATTCATGATGCTGCTCATGGCTGCTGGTCCCTTGCAATGCTGTTATTACTTTGACAGGCTCCTCATCTTTCACTCAGGGAAACACTGGCAATGTTCAAGTTAAGGGTCAGCTTTTGGAGGGGAAGGGCTGCTGGCAGTTCTGCTGAATCTTCTGTCCCTCCTCTCCCCTCTTGGATCCCCACTCTGCCCCCCTCTGACATTCCTGCACCAGGCTCCATCCATCTCATAAGCCTGGAAATTCCTCACTCCAGCCCAACACAATGAATGTCCCAATGGGAATTTTAAGACCTGAAATATCCAGGAAACACATGGAAAGCACAACCAGACTTCAATTTGCTGCRAGATCTGTCAGAAGAACAGAGCAGGCTTTACCTTGGCTTCATAACCATTGACACCTTCTGATCTTTCTGTCTTCCACACCCAGAATCCAGACATGGATCTGACAAAAAGGGAACACCACAAGTGTCTACACAGCTACRTTTCTACAGAAACCCAGCTGGTTCTTCTAAATCTGATTTTAAACTTTTGACAGATTATTAACCCCAGGTATCTGGAAAAATAGTTGTAGTAATGAAAAGACAAATGTATGTCTGTTAAAAGACAAACTGTACACCTTTATTTAAAGTATTCATGTGAGAGTTGATTTGTTACCAAGTCTTAAGTTCTTGTCCTTTATGTCCAGCACTTGGATTTGGGTGAAATGCAAACTTGCAGTGAACAATTGACTCAATCTTAGAGGTCTTTTCCAAGCTCAATTATTCTATCCCACTAATATGATAAACCAGCAGTTTTCTGCCAACTGATTTCTTTCAACTTGGAACTTTTTGCCCAGCAATAGTGGCAAGTTGACCAACCCAAATTTCTTTATCTAGTGGTATAAGAAGMTTCAAGTAATTTCAGACCTAGCCCTAAAACTTTTAATTATCAAAGCTTTTTTTCAAGTATGACCATCCATAACATCAAAATGCTTATTTGCTAAGAGAAACTTTCTKTCTCACCTTTCAAAAGCAATGTTTTTGGTATCAAGGCACGTGCTGATGATTGGAGATGTAAGGCGTCTTTCCACATCCTTCTTCTTGGGAGTCATCGATCCCAACGTCAAACGTTTCATGTGCTGGGAGATCTCAAACCTCTCTGTCGTGACAAACTTGTCATCGTGATTGATCTCGATGAACTCTGCCCAGCCACCAGAGTCTGGTGGAAAAAAGGCACATTTCAAGTTAAAAAAAAAAAAACCTCAGCAAGTGTTCCAGAGTGAAAAGCTATGGGGTATATCGTGTATCAAATCTGGGTGTTTTCGCACTCAGCTGGGATCAAACTTGGAAATGGAACTAAATTTATTTTTTAAATGCAGGACAGCAGAACAGAAGGAGAGAAACTGAGTAAAATATTGACATTTTAGCCCTATCACCAAATTTTAGCTCAGATTTACTCAAAGCAAAGAAGTTAAGCCATCACAAAACAACATTTCTGAGACACGAATATAAGCATAGAAGCCTTTTTTTGTAAAATCAACATTTCTCACTGTGCTCAGACAGTATTTGGGGATCAGTGGTRCAGACAGGTGAACTATTTACCTTCTCCTTTGAAGATGACAGTTCTCCTGCCCCTCTCACAGCTCAAGTTCTCAAAGCCCAGCAAGGTGATGTCAACGCGCAGCTTGGCCCGGCTCTTCCAGATGCGGCACACGTCACTCGGGCACATCCTGGAAACCAGGGGCACTGGGAGAAACAGGAGAAATGGAAAGGGAAAATGTGCAAGAAATGAACTCAAATACAGGGATTGTTCACTCCTGGGAATGTCATTTCAGAGGAGGTGAGATACTGATCCTCTTTAGCTTTGAGAACAACCAGCTTAGGGCAAAACCAGCCTAATTTAAAGATGACTATGAAAAGCAGTAAGTTGTTTGTTCAGACTGAAAGATGTGAAATGGCATAAACCCCATGCCTGGCAGTCTAACAGTTTGATATTTGAAATATTTAGTCAGCTGTGAGGCCTAGTGTCCATCCCTTTCAGGGAAGAGCAGGTACTTCCCAAAAGAGCCAGTGCATTCATAGATGACACATGATCACTYAGTCATGGATGGCCAGGGACAGGTAAAAAACCCCCAAGAAAAGTCTTCAGCTATTGCAACAACAGCTAAATTCTCCACTACTAAAAACCAACCAAACAGGAAACAAAGAATAATTGTGCAACCAAAAACACAAGAGGTCATTTTGAGAGGGAAGAGAAGAGGGTTCCGGATATTTCCCTGCCTGSGCTGTGGGACATTTGTAACTCATTTTTACAGCTCAGAATTTGTAACAAGGAGAAGGATTCTTACCCCAGCTTGTGAACTCCCATTTCATTTCCACATAAAAGTCAGGAGTCTGGAGAAGGAAAACACATGATGAATACCTCATGRAATGGTTTTACTCTGACATTCAGTGCAGCAGTTTCTGTGAACATTTTAGATAAAGGAAGAAAAAAGAAGAGCAAACTGGAAAAATGGTAAGTGAATGCTAAAACTGAAATTGAAAGTAGCAAACACCACAGCCACTGCCCTGCCCCTGCTGCTATCTGGGGAGCTGTTCTTCCTTGTTTTACTGGAGAGGCCTTCAAGATTCAGCCTCCAATGTTGGAGCTCATAACAAAGGATTTAAATAAAGCCAAGGAAAAGCCTCCATGTCCCTCAGCACTATGGAATACACAGGCTGGAACAAAACACAATGGCCCAGCTGATTGCAGTAGGTCACTTAACTGAATTACTGGAATGAGAATTCAAGCAGTGATTTCAGTCTGGAGTGAGAGTTTACATTTTAATTAATCATTACCTCATTAATTTTCTGGAGTAACTCAGGAACTCCTCCAAGGGTCATGGAGGTCTGCTGGTAGTCCCGATGCTGCAGGATCAACTGGACCATCTCTGGATCCCCTGTGCTGACAGCCTCGTGCAAAACTGAAAGAAAGCCAGCCACAGTCTCGTGCCACTTGGCTTGCTGACCAAAATATGAAAAAAACAAAGCACATCTGCTACTGAAAGYATCACASCCCARGCTGTCCCCCAGGCTGTCCTTACCCGTCCATCCCTGCGCGTTCTCCTTGGTCACATCTGCCTTGTGCTGCAGGAGGACCTTGGCAGATTCTAAGTAACCCAAGGAAACGGCCAAGTGCAGCAAGGTCCGGCCCCTTGGATCCCGCTGGTCAACATCCTGCCAAGTACCCGAGACAGAAGGAACACAGCTCATCAGAGTTTACACAAACAGAGGGCTAATCCAGGAGTCAATATTCCCTGCCATTCCCACAGATCTGTTCCCAAACTCTACTGCACCGCCCTTCTGCAGGGCTGTCTCGCTTCCCCATGTGAATAAAGGGAGAAGCAGAACGGGGCCTATAAAATGACACAAAAACTGTAGGACGGGAGTTCTTGTTGATGCTTCTCATTTCTTTTTCTGTCATTATTTTCCCTCTGTCTCTCTCCAGGAGGAGATGGGAGTTCTCATCCRTGTGCATCACGCCATAGACAGCGAGAGCCTGAGACCCCACAGAGAGCTTAAACTGTACAACAAAACGGAGGGAAAGGGGGTAAAAAAAGGCAACAGGGCATACAACACRGATTTTGGACAGCACTTTTGGAAAGGACAGAAGCAGATGGTGTTTCACAAAGCACACACAGCACAATGAGGAGTGAGGGCATTCTCTACARGTCACTAAAATAAAAAAATAAAACTACACAGGCACAAATATCCAAAACATGCAAGCACAACATACTCATACCTTACACATTTTTCACTATTAGCTTAGAGATTTGAAACAGAAGAGCATCTATAACTAAAGGAAAAGGGGAAAGTCAATAGCAGAACGAGAAAGGAAGGTTATTATGCACGTTAACAGTGTTATCTGACTGTCAAGTCAGAGTATCTCACAGAGCGGGGAAAGCTTCGGTTTAACGCATCTTCACTTCTGGGGTGAAACAGTAATTAATTAACATTAATTGGCTTTCCCACCTCCTGCAGCACCGACAGGGAAAAGGCTCCAAAGGTCCCTCCCCACTATCTTTGTTGCCGTTCCCTGGTCCCCACATGCCCAACCCCGTTTGCCACTCCAACTGCAGCTGGGAAATGGCTTCGATCCCCTCACGCGTCCCTCTGGCAGCAGGAAGCTCATCCCAAAGAAGCAGGAGAAAATATATCTTTGGAATACTTTAAAAAAGAAGGAAAGYGTTCAAAAGAAGGCAAAGGAAGTAAGAGACAGACAGGTCCATCTTCACACGCTGCTGGTTTCCACAGGGAACGAAGGGAGGAAGCAGCACTCCATAGAGTGATCCCTATTTAAGGACAAACTCTCACAGGTGTCAGAAATAAACACACAGGAGCAACGTGCCAGTGAGGTTTAAGATTTTGTTAATGCATAAGATGATGTAAGTTAGATAAAAAAGTGACTGCATTCCAAAGATTCTCCCAAACCAGGGCAGGAACATGCTCTAAGCAGGAATTAGTAAGTCAGGTGCACTGTTAGAGCTGCAGGTGACAGTCAGGAKGCAGCACAGCTGGTCTTGGGCTCAGGTACTTGTGGTGTCAGGTATAATTAATTAATAAGCTCTGCTTATTAACTGTATCTCACTGTAGCCCATGTCAGAGCTTTTCCACAGCAGCTCAGCCAGAAGGATTTTTGCTGCTTGAGCTCGGCTGCAGCTTTCAGGACATTTCCTTACGTCAYCATGTCCCAGAGAGGGGACAGCTTTGTGTTTTCTACTCTCCAGCATGGAACAATGATCCATTTTTTTTTTTTTTTAACCACAGATGCTGAAAACATTCCAACCAATATAAAAACTCTGCTCCCAATCTTGGACAGCAATAAATCTGCGAGAACTGATGGTGCTCAGCAAGGTAGAGGTTGGTCTGATCAAAAGCAGCAGCAGCCACCTTTGCTGCATATCGACTTCCCATTAAGATAACGGATATTTATTGGTTTAATAAGTAAATTAAGGTCCATCACAGCTGCTCTTCTTGAGTGACTCCTAACTCTTCCAAAACTCTGCAGCTGCACTGGAATGCTCACAGCGAAGTTTTACAGGTGGGAAGCCAACGCTTAGTATTTGACATAATACATATTCCTACACCTTCTTACATCACTCCCACACCACAAATAAACAGGTGACGAAATGTAGGGATCCCTCAAGCCCAGCGAACGCTCCTGGCAACACCACCAGGGTGTTTCTCTCTGGCACAGCAGAAAGCGAGGGGCACCGAGCCCCGCAGTGTGGCACAAGCTCTTTTGGGGCCACTAGCCCCCMGTAGCAGCCCCCACAGGGTCCGGGRCCCCCGTTACCTGGTCCTGGAGCGCCTCGTCCAGCCGCTTGTAGTCGTTATTCCAGACCAGGACATGGAGGGGGAACGCTCTGCTGGCCCCGTCGGGRGAGCTCATCCCGGCACACACCTGGGGAGGAGCGGCCAGAGCTCCTCACTGTTCCCTCTCTGGATTTTGGAGACCCCAAGTTACTCAAGCCCTGAGCCTTTCAGCTTCTCCTCTCTCCTGACACCCACCTGCCCCAGGTGTGTGTGTGTGTGCGAGCCCGGGCCACGACCCCCTACGAACCCTTCACCCCGCTCCAAGGGGWGCCCCATGCAAAACCCCACCGCGGGGGTCTCCCCTGCTCCTGACGCCCCTCGCAGCCCCCCGATGGCGAGGGTCTCCTCCTGGTGCCCCCTCAGCCCCGCTCGGGGGTCTCCCCGATCTCGCCCCCTCAGCCGTCCCCGTCCCTCTTCCCCGTCCCTCCAGGGACGGCTGGGACGAACCACAGCGCGCCCGGAGCAGGGGGGCTCACCGCGGTCCCCCTCACTCCGCCGCCACGGACGACAGCACGGAAAGCGGAAGCTGCTCCCTCTCCCCCTCTGCGGGCGGACAGATGGAACGTCCCGTCCGCAGCTGTCCCATTGCSTTCCTCGCGGGGGGGGCGCTCAGCGCTGGCTGTTCTCACCCTGCCGTCRCCCGGTCTTGGTTTCGCTCGCCCGCCCGCCATGGCGGGTGAGGGCAGGGCTTGCTGGAAAGCGGCCTCTTCCACCAGGCTTCCGAAGCCCCATCTTTCCCATCACCCAGCCGAGAGGGTGCAGCGGCCGGGCGGGCGCGGCCCCGGGTGGGAGCTTTCCGTGTTGCCCCGCTGAACCGAAGCTCATTCTAAGTCAGGCCCCCRTGCCAGGAGTAAAGATGGCGGCGCGGGCGACATGCGGAGCGGCGCTGGGCGGGTCGGTGCGCATGCGCGGGGCCGGCCCGGGGCTGGCGGGGCCCGTTACCGGCCCCGCTGCCGCCGCTGCCGCCGGTCCCGCGATGGCGAAGCGCCTGAGGAGCAGCGAGGTGTGCGCCGACTGCAGCGCTCAGGGTAGGCACCGCACCGCCACCTGCACTGCGCGGGCCCGTCCCGCGGATCCCTCTCGGGCCGGGGGCCGCGGGRGCGCCGCTGGCCCGGGGGTGTCACCGCCCCGGAACGGCCCCCGCTGCACCTGTGAGGCGCCCGGGATGGTTTGGGTTGGAARGGACCTTAAAGCTTATTTCRTCCACCTCCTGCCATGGGCAYGGACACCTTCCAGGAGCCCAGGTTTGCTCCAAGCCCCGTCCAGCCTGGCCTCGGACGCTTCCAGGGCTGGGATATAACTCCGTGTCCGAGTGTCCGAGTGTCCGGGTCCCGCCGGCACCGGGGGAGGCTGAGGGGGACAGAGCTCCGGGGAACATCCTGTACACATTAAACGTCGTGAAAGGATTGTGGAGCTTCCCAATTTAGTGAGGAAAGCTGACAGAAATCCACCTTCCAGTCACGGGGCTGAAAGGTGGGAGGAGGGCGTCATTTGGGAATGTGTCACTGGAGGGGTCGGTGGTTGTTTTTGGGGGTTCGGGAAGGCGAGAGCGGGGCTGGGSTCGGAGCCCCATCCATTCCCGCAATCCCAGGGTCAGGGGGCAGTTAAAGTGGGATTTTTCCCATCTCCAGGGTTGGGTGTAGGTGTCCCAGGCTTCCCAGAAAAGTTGTGCTGAGGTGTCTGGAGACACGCTCAGGGAGCAGCGTCTGCTCTGTGCTCACACGTCTCCCACTGCAGATCCGTTTGGGAGCTTATGGAAACAGATCTTGTCTTTACAAAGGCTGTTGCATCTCCTGGCCATCTGTAGGTCTGCCGTTCTTGTATCTAAAACTGTCTTGTGTTATTTTATCGGCTATGTGTGTTTGTTCTGTCTGTATCTTTCCCGTCTCTCTGTTTTTTGCTGTTTGTGTTCTGGGCAGGTTTTCCAATATAATGAATTAATTATGCACATACTGAAATTGATTAAAACACTGTAATGTAGATAATACTTGATTTGGCAGAAGATAGGATGTGGGAGAGGGGAGAACAACWTTAATTAAATCTGACTTATGTTTTAAAAAGTAATAAAAATTCCAAGTTAACCTCCCAGAAGTTACTTTCTTCTTTTTACAGAAGAAATTCTTCCCTGTGTGGGTGGTGAGGCCCTGGCACAGGTTGTCCAGAGGAGCTGTGGTTGCCCCATCCCTGGAAATGTCCAAGGCCAGATTGGATGGGGCTTGGAACAACTTGGGCTAGTGAAAGGTGWCTGCACATGGCAAGGGATGGAACTGGATGAGCTTTAAGCTCCCTCATCCCAAACCAGTCTGGGATTCTGGGATTCTGCTTGTATCCCTGTAGAATTTTGGTTTTATGATAAACRGASCTGGCAGGCAGKTGTCCCTATCAMACAAGGTAGCCTATCTGTGYTTTTCACACATCARGGGTGTTCTGACTCTGAGATAAAGCTGTGTGTCTGTTTGTGTTCCTTAAGCTCCTCAGGGTATCAGAATCATTGTGAGGTAATCCTGTAACCCAGCCTGTTATCRTGACATTAGAGCACTGCCAGGTCTTTACTTATTTGCTAGAAATCCGTTGGCTTATCCACATATATAAAGAAATCTTACATTTAATCCTTTTGTAAATAAAATGAATCAACCCCTTTCCTTTTCCTAAACCAGAGGGTTTGTCAGTGGGTGCTGGGGGGCTGTGTCTGGAGATCTGGGGTTGCAGCCTTTGCACCACAGCAGGTCTGCCTGGCACCTGCATTAATCAGCACTTCCCCTGGAACCTCCTCAATGCCCCCTTTGTCTCTGTGGCAGAGTATGGAGGTTTTTCTTTGACACGAGGTGATCTTACAGGAGCTCTTGTGCTGCACTTCCTATCCCGAGGCAGGAGCTCCTTTCTCAAACCCACGGCCGGGCCTGTCTTCATCTCACGCTTCCTGTTTTGAACCACCCTGCAGGTTCCTGAAAGCGCCTGCCCAGCCCTGCAGCTTCTCCCTGSTTGTCTTTTGTGTCAAAACCAGTGTGGGCAGCAGGGCCAGGCTGTGACCACCCCCTGTGCTGGACATGAGTGTTTTGTCCAGCTCTGGGCCTTTCTCTCCAGACAGACAGAGGGGCTGGAGCGTGTCCAGAGAAGAGAATGGAGCTGGAGAAGGGTCTGGAGCACCAGGAGCAGCTGAGAGAGCTGGGAGGTCTCAGCCTGGAGCAAAGGAGGCTCAGGGGGCACCTTCTGGCACTGCACAACTCCCTGACAGGAGGGGACAGACCAGGCTGGGCTCTGGTCCCAGAGAACAGGGACAGATGAGAGGAAATGGCCTCAGGGGAGGGTCAGGTTGGACATCAGGAGGAATTTCCTCATGGAAAGGGTGATCAGGCATTGGAAAGGGCTGCCCAGGGTGGTTTGGAGTCTCCATCCCTGGAGGTGTCCCAGGAACACCTCGATGTGGCACTCAGTGCTCTGGGCTGGTGACACGGTGGGGATTGGGCACAGCATGGACTCGGTTCTGGGAGGTTTTTTCCAACCTCAGTGATTCTGGGATTCTGTGTATTTTAGTACTGGCTTAAGCATAGTCTGATTGAGTCCATAATTAGGTCTCGTAAAAATGACTCAAATTCCAGGATAGACACTTCATTAAATCTAAACCTGAAATATCCAGAGGCATCGAGTATTGAGGTGGAGTTAAAGAAAACCCCCAATGCTGACTGTTGATAATGCAGAGCAATGCTCACAAACATCCTGGAATGGGCAAGGGGAAGGATCCCTGAGGATYCCATCCATGTGAGATGAGGTTGTCTCTAATAAGATGGGACCAGGCTCATTAATCTGGAAGGCTGCTTCAGTTTGGGTCATTAGGTTACCATGAAAGCATCTCACTCCATTGCTATTCTTTTTCTTCTTGGAAGTGAAAGTTGTTAAAKAATGGAATGATTTAACAAGGGGTTTGTGTGCTTGTTGTTGATTTGTTTTTTAACAAATTAATCAGTTTATTTTCTCTAAAACACCTGCTTTAATTTGGGTGTGGGCTGGGCTGGTTGTGGTGGGTCAGGRGATGCTCCCATCCTTCGTGGCTTGGACAGGTTTGCCTGCATTGCCTGCAGCACACCCGGATCATCAACTYTGCTTAGAAACCACTGCTGTGATCACATCTCATTTGCAGGGATTCAGTCCATTTGCTGCATGGGTCAGAGGAGACCTTTGCATGATGCACCACTGCTCAGATGTGTTCTGACAGGACTCAGAAGTTCTCTCATCAGATACTAGGCTCGCCTTGTACTCGCTTCTTTTGCCTCAAACTCGTCTCTGTATTTGAAATTAAGATTTTTTCCAAAATAAAAGAGATCTTGATTTCCTTTTTTTGCTCTCCTGGGATGTATTAAGTCTGAAGCTCTGTCTGGCTGCTCAGTTGCCTGTTCCTGCAGGCTTCTGGCACGCTGAGTTTCATGTGTCACTGACAGAAATTGGAGTTTATTCTGGAGACTGAGCTCTGAGCAGCTGAGGGACCTGTTTGGTGTCCTGTGGGCATTTATTGTTTCAACCTAATGTACCATTCCCATTTGATTTTATGCCTTTTGATGTTTGAAGCTATATAATACCTCATATCTATTATTTACTACTTCRCTTCCCATCAGTTTTCTTTCTGGGCTGCTTATAAGATGGTTCCATTTGGATCTGGTGAGAGATGAAGTTATTTTGCTTGAGAATTTTGGAATTTTATTGAGCCTTTGACTTGACACATATGTAACATTTTTTATTATGACACGCCTGCGTGTTTTTATTATTGAAAGTGGAAATTTAAAAGACATTGTTATAATATAGAACTGAAAACTGAGTAGAAGGTGGAAAAGCCTGACTGCCTGACTGCTGTGGCAACTTTATGTGTATAGATTCTGTGTTTTTTAAAATGTATTTTTTGGCAATTAAAAAAAATAAACAGTTTTTCCAAATACCAGGTAGGCACTGTTTTTAGGAATACTTTTGTAGAAGTCCACAAAATAACAAGTAAAGCACTTCAAGGTAGTGATAAATGTTGTGTTTAAAAAGGAAAGTATTTTCATAGGAAGAACTGCAAAGAGTGGGGCTTTTCCCCAAGTTTCCCCWGCAGGTCTCCTGACTGTCCTGGGACTCCCACACCCCACATGAGTGCAAGGACTGGTGTTTCCCATTTTCCCAGCATCCAGAGGCCCAGCAAGGCTCACACAGAGGCTAAGCAGGGAAGGTTAAAAGGCAGAGCTCCWAATTTTAGACTGTTTTTGAAATCCAAGGTCACGTTGCCTCCTGTGTTACAATGAATGGCTTCTTTTGCAGATCCTTGCTGGGCATCCATAAACAGGGGGATCCTGATCTGTGATGAGTGCTGCAGTGTGCACAGGAGCCTGGGCCGTCACATCTCCCAAGTGAGRCATCTCAAACACACCCCGTGGCCTCCAACACTGCTGCAGGTAGAGAGGAAAACTCTTTTCCTTCGTTAAAACCAGATATAGTGACTTATTTTCTTTTCAAATGTAATTTAAATCACTAAGCTTTTGTTTGAGAGGGACTGGACTGTTTAAGTTTTCTAAATTATTCTCGTTCTGCTTCTCTGGTTTTGTTGTGATGGACCACTAAAACCAGAACAGTCTCTGCCTTTTGAATTTGATGACCTTGCTTTGGCAAGTCACCTCAACTTTTCGTTCACATTTCTRCAGTACATCTGCTTCAACCTGAATTTTCAGTGTAATGCAAGATTGTCTTTTCACTGGARCTTCTGTTGGGAAGAGCAGAGGATTTTAAGGAGTTTCTCATTACATTCCTCATCATAATCTCCTAAACATGTGCCCAGCAGGTTATGGATGCTGGCACACAGAGTGGCAATCTGCTGACTTGATAACTGCTTGAAAATAATTACAGATATTTGATTAGTACAGCCAGCAGCAAAATCTCTGTGTATTYTGGCTTTCAGATGGTGGAAACGCTGTACAACAATGGTGCTAATTCCATCTGGGAACACTCCCTGCTGGACCCTGCCTCTGTGATGAGCGGGAGGCGCAAGGCCAGCCCACAGGATAAAGTGCAGTAAGTGGGAAATGCAGAATTGTTGTGGTAGAGAAGTGGGATTATTTTATTCAGCAGTGGCAGAGCAGCAAGGAATTCATAGGAACRTGTTTGTGTATGGTTGCTGGAARAGAACAAGAMTAAAGTAGTTACTATTTTCTTTTAGTCAAAGTATTTGTTTTATTCCAAGTTATTATTTTCTTTTATTCCAAGTATTTAAYATGACTAAAGTAGTTACTATTTTMTTTTATTCCAAGTRTTCAATTTTTTWAAATTTATTTCAAAAATGRGRATACAGTGTTTGAATTCTCTGAAGTATTGATTCCTACTCAATTGTGAAGACCTTTACTTGCACTTTAGTCAAAAGATTTCTTTGTCTTGTGCTTCATTTAACTGAATGCTGCCAACAAAATYGAGTTTGGTTGAGGAATTAAATAAAACTTCAGAGATTTTTGTCCCTGACTATGGTGCTTCATTTTAAAATGTAAATAACTGCATGCAGTAAGTATAGTTCTAAAGCTGGCATGATTTTAAAGTCTGCATTTCTTTTAAGAAACAGACACCACGTGCTACTGTCTGCAGATATTTGATGGTTGTAACAGAAGTTTTCTCTGTATGGTCAGACAATCTGCACTGGGTTGTTTTTTAAGGAAAATATTTTTCCATGCCTAACTTTGCCACCAGCAACATGCAAAGCTCTGATTCAATCTTCACTTGTGAATTTTCCTTTTCCCGGAGCATTATGAAATCACTGATATTTCTTTCCTTTCCCTTCTTGTTGCCTGAATTTCTCTTTGCAGTCCCAACAAAGCAGAGTTCATTAGAGCTAAATATCAAATGTTAGCGTTTGTGCATCGCCTGCCGTGCCGTGAGGATGACAGTGTCACTGCCAAGGATCTCAGCAAGGTCAGTGGCTCCTGGGACAGCACAGGCAAATCTCACTGACTTCCCCTAGTTGCTCATTGCTTAACTATTTCTGGTTTCCTGCACTATTACATAAATAAATAAAGCTTGACTTCAACTTGAAGTCCCTTTTTTGTGGTTATCTATGTGGATAGTGGAGGTGATGGTTAAGAGGCGTCAATTTGGGTGAGCTTGGAGAAAACCCTTTACACAAAAAAAAACTGCAGTGAGAACTCTGCATGCTCTTGTTTCTCAAAACATGGCTGAAAAACAACTGCTGTATCMTAGTTGTTGCTGCTGTATTAAATATAATTCTGCTTCTTTTTCAGCAACTCCACTCCAGTGTGAGGACGGGGAATCTGGAGACCTGTTTGCGACTGCTCTCCTTAGGAGCTCAAGCCAACTTCTTTCATCCTGTAGGAACACTTTTTTTCACTATTTTGCTATTCAATCAATTACAGTTCATRTTATCTATACTCATTTCACATTCTATTTCAATTTGCTACTCAGACCTGTTGGTTAAGTAGATATTTTCCTTGGTTTCTTGCAGGAGAAAGGAAACACCCCGCTGCACGTTGCTGCTAAGGCAGGACAAACTTTGCAAGCAGAACTACTGGCAGTTTATGGTGCTGATCCTGGCACACAAGATTCCAATGGGAAAACTCCAGTTGACTATGCAAGGTGGGAGTCTCTAACATACATTAACTGATGTCTATAAATCACACAATGGACCTTCCGAGGTATGTTTCTGTCCTGAAATAATTTGCCTGTTACATGGTAAAAATACTTGTTCCAGAAAGAGGGAATGAATAAAAGTGATGCATAAGTATTTTCATCAGATCACAGCCTGTGTTCTGGGTGCCTGATACATCAGCTGTGATCCAAATGACACAGGCTGTGCCAATCTAGCAGCTCACAGRAAATTAATCAGAGAAGATTTTCTGCAAGTTCAGGCTCCAAGAGGGCAGGTTTACTCGGGGATTGCTATAGGAAAGGGCTGGACTGCACAGTTGGGTCAGGGCACACAGGGTGGAACCAGGCTGTGAGTCTGTGATGGGTTGATATCCTCACACATGTGCAGTTTTGGCTTGTACTAAATCTCTTTCTCTGACCATTTCTGCTGTCACTGACTGTCCCTGTCCCCTGTGTGTGAGCAGGCAGGGCGGGCACCACGAGCTGGCAGAGCGGCTGGTGGAGATCCAGTACGAGCTCACRGACAGGTTGGCTTTCTACCTCTGTGGCAGGAAACCAGGTGAGCACAACACCTGCACTCYGAGCCCTGTCCCTGGCTGTTACAGGACAGTTCAGACTGTGCTGTGTGATCTTTGTGTCAGGCACTGCATATTCTGTATCCCTTCCAAATATTCTAACGTTGTACAAATTACACAGCAAGAACCAAAGATGCAAGATTGATGCCTTTAAAATTCAGATAAAACTGCAGGGTTTTAAACAGACATAAATGAAAAACTTAATTCCTTTCTGGYTTTCCATAAATACATATTCTTCATATGCTGTAGAAACTCTTCCTAGTAGTTTCTTCTAATTGAAATGCAACAGCAGGGGAGTATTGTATTAAGTGGGTTCTTTTTGAGGACACTTACAGATTTTGAGCCATAAAGGTACCTTTTGTTAGAAGTTAATTTGCTTTTCTTAATGGAATTTTAATAAGCCTTAATTGGAATCTTTAATAATACCTGGAAATCATGGCATGAGCCTTCCTTTATAACTTGCTAGTTGCCTGTGATTGGAAATTGAGTAATTACATGCAAAACAAATTATTCTGTGTTGCTTCATGCTTGTATTATTGAAAACTGTAGGCCAGTAYCAACCTCTTAAAGTGCCATTTGTTTTCAACTCTAGAGCACAAAAATGGGCAGCACTTTGTTATACCTCAGATGGCAGACAGGTAAGTTGCTGATTCCATCAGAGTTAGAAAACCCTAATACTTAAGTTTTCTTTCCTTTCTGAAACACCTTTTAAACTTGTTGCCGTTTTGACTATTTTATGCCTTTATTAGTCTTGGAGGCTTTTTATCCTACAAAGAAAATTGTGATATCAGCAAAATCAGAAAATTATAGAGAKTGACTGTATTTATTAAAATCCAAGGGAGAAGGTGAGACATTTCTGTCAAGGGAATACACATGGGGAATTCCTAGCAAACGGATTGTGTAMATAATTTAAGGACCATTTGAGTATTTTCACCCATTTTTGTAATACTCACGCTTTTAACTTTGGGTTGTGATCATGAAATCGTATTTGTTTAAGAAGTATCAAGCACTAATTTTAAGTCCCTGTTCCTCTTTTATTGCTGTACAATTGGAAATAAGACGGCTGTAAGTAAACCCCTCTCCAAMCTTCTGCTTGCAAAATTTCTGTAAAAAACTTCAATAACATAAAAATGATGTGGGTAAAAAGTTGGGTATTTATATTCCAAAGAAATTTTTTGTGTTATTTAATTTTAAATTTTAAAATAGTTATGTAAGAAAACCTAAGCCTATGCTAATTGTGGTATTTTAGTAGCAATATTAGTGACATCAGTGTGTTATAAACAATGCTAAAAATCCTAAAATATTAGGGGGGGGTTTTCAGATAAAAGTGACATTTTAATCCCTGAGTTATTGAAATGTGGAATTTGTGTTTAAGCCATGAAATGTTGTAGATGTAATGATCACTTCWTGTTTTCAGCAGTCTGGATGTATCAGAACTGGCAAAAGCAGCCAAGAAGAAGCTTCAGTCTGTAAGTAAAGCCCTTTTTCTAGATGTGGCAAACTCTTCATCTTTCAGGCTTTCTAATGCAAGTATCTCTTGACCCATCTGCTGTAGGAACAGCTTGAAACACACAAATATTTTGTGAGCCTTCACTGTTCATTGAAATCCACATCCCCAGTGATATTTGGTRCCTCATTCCCACAGTGGCTCTGCCTCGCCCTAAACACAAAAGTCTTTTTTTTGTGACCAGATGAAGAGAAAAAAGATCCATTAACCAGGAAAGGACAAGTGTGGAACAGAATGGTTGTCTCTGGACCTAGAAATGGAGTGTTCATAGGTGTCTGCTCTCTGTGCAGACTGAGGAGGGAGCATTTCTATGAATTATAGAGGCTGAAGAAAAGAGCAGAGTTGTCCTCTGTTACTCTCTGTTATCAGAGATCTCACTGGGTTTCATTTCTTTTCAAACTGTAATTATTCTCTTCTATCCCTAGCTAAGCAACCACTTATTTGAAGAACTTGCCATGGATGTGTATGATGAAGTTGACAGAAGGGAAACAGATGCAGGTGCGTGAGACTGTCTGGAATGAAATAAAACAAATCAGAATTGTTCCTTTGCATACAAGATGCTAATACAAGCACATGTTCTGTTGAAGTGCTTCTGTATTCAGTAATTACTGCTGAGGGGAGTTTCTTTGTCTTGCAGTGCCTGAAGGGGATGTTAATTGAAAAAATCTTGTGTTTTTCACAAAGTAGAGAACCCTCTGGGSAAAAGCTTTCCTCTGAATTGATTGTGTTTGTGTTTGAAATTGCAGTCTTTTATTTGACAAAGAATACTGTCAAGTAGTACAGGAAGGTTATTCCCTCTTTTTTTTGTTTTTCCTCTGGAGCAGTTTGGCTTGCTACTCAGAACCACAGCACACTCGTAACAGAGACCACAGTGGTCCCTTTTCTTCCTGTGAATCCTGAATATTCCTCAACCAGGAATCAGGTATGAAATCTTAATACTGTAAAAATAATTTAATAGGCCAGGAAATTAAATAGGCATAAGTAATATTGCTTTACTGCATTTCATTATTGTAGAAGAGTTGCATCTACTTGGAAAGAGGTTAAAATAATTTCACATTTCCCTTTTAAATCATACTTTTTGCAATAAATGTAGTTGAACWATCAACTCACTTTTAGGTGTATAATCTTAGTTTTTCCTGGGAACTGTGTGGTTCATCTGACACAGTATGTACTTTTTTCCCCTCTGCATTATTCTGTAATTTAGGGAAGGCAGAAACTGGCTCGATTTAATGCCCACGAGTTTGCTACGCTGGTTATAGATATTTTAAGTGATGCCAAACGAAGACAACAGGGGAATTCTCTCACTGGTTCCAAAGGTGAGTGAGCTTTTGTAGTCTGTAGGGGTTTTTCATTTTGTATGAATTTTATTAAGCTGCTAAGTGATTCTCACCATTTATTTTAACTTGCCTAAACACTTAGAAGAAATGAAAAGATAAAACCATAAAACTATGAGGTTTAGGACAGTAATCATTCATTCCTCTTAGGTGGATCTAAATTAATTTTTTTTGAGATATGAACCTCCATTTCTACYCCAGACTTACAGCTATGTCTTTAATTTGTTGATGTGCAGAAAATGTGGAACTGATACTCAAATCAATCAGCAATCAGCACAGCAGTGAAAGCCAGGACAATGACCAGCCTGATTATGACAGTGTTGCTTCAGATGAAGATACAGATCTGGAAACAAATGCAGCTAAATCAAACAGGCAGAAGGTAGGCTCAAAACACTGGTACACCCCTAAGTGTTATTCATAAAGGTAACCGGCATAAATTACCAGGAAAATTAATATTTTAATGAATTTCATAATCATGCCTCAGTCTATGAACTTTCTAATAAAATTAAGTGTTATTGCTTAAGGAATTTTTATTGTAAAAAATGCCTCTCCAGAAAAGTAATGTGTATGTCTGGAGATAAGACACATAGATGAACTAATTAGATCTACCAAAAAACTCTGAATCACTGATTCTGTGGTATTTCACAAATATTTACTGCTTCCCATTTAAGAAATACAACAGACCAATAGTGTCCCAAGTGTTTTAAACCATTCCTGGAAGAAATGCAGAATGTAATCAAAGGGCAGTAAAACCTGGTGGTTCTGCTTTAATCTACCCTGGTATATGGACASTGGATATTTAGCAATCTGTCTTTTATAACTTTGCAGTTCTTAATTGCRTATTTTTAAAAAACCCTTTTAAAACACTGATTTGTCACTGAAATGTTGGTGCAAATGTTTTTAGAGGAGCTAAGAGATAATTGACAGCAGATAGCTTTTACAGAGGACTTCAAATTATTCTGGTTAATGGATCTTATTATATTAAACTCTATTTGAGCTGTGATGCCTTTAAAGTAAGTACATGAAAAGCTGTTGTAATCTCAGCAAAGGTCTTGCTTTCCTCTTCTTAAAGGTGTATTTTTCTCTTTCTTTTCCTAGAGCTTGGATTCAGACTTGTCAGATGGACCAGTGACAGCCCAGGAATATATGCAGGTTAAAAATGCCTTAGTGGCTTCTGAGGTGAAGATTCAGCAGTTAATGAAGGTGAACAACAACCTGAGTGATGARCTGAGGATTATGCAGAAAAAGGTAACAGCCAGAGCAGAGGAACCCCCTGCCTCCAGCTCTTGGAGTGTCTGAAATTGTCAGAATAAAATTGCTGGAATTGAGGATCAAATAACCCAGTATTAGGATAGTGAGAAAACTCATTTTAAAGTGGAGCTGCCTTGGGATCAGATATGAGATTATAAATATTTATTGCAACATGTGCTTTAAATGGTTTGTTTTTTTTTTGTGGAGCTGATGGTGATCCAACCTAACAAATCGTGAGAATAATTTAAGTCAAAACTTAGAGATTAAGTTTTCCGAGCAACAAGGCAGTTGTTGCAAGTGTTGTGTGTTTTTGCTGTGTTGCTTCAATATAAACAGTTTTAACAATGAGGAAGCAAGTGCTAGCACACATCTTAAGTGTGTGTACTTAGCTATATTTTTGTGGGGTAAAGGAGAATTTAAATCTGAGGTCACTATCCTATCTGTCATACCAGCTAGAAAGGGTTTGCTGCTTACCCTCAAATTAATCCCTTTAACCAGTGTTAAAAAAACGCTGTTTTCCAAATAATTACAATCCTGCAAGGGTGACATGTACAGAAAGTTGTTCAGGCTGTAGGGTGGACCTGTTATTCTGGGGCAGAGCTGGGCTTTTGGAGAGTGGTGGGACTGTTCAGCTCCTTTCACCTCATTCTCTTCTATTCTGGTGAACACTGGGAGATCTYGGGGTGTTTCCTTGATCTTTCAACAGCTTGTGCTGGTTGAGGATTTCTCTTGCATCAACTGAATTAACATTTATATTGAGTTTAAACAGATATAGTCTATTTAGGAGAAAAAMCAAACCTTTGGGGCCTGAATTAATGAGGCTACAGGATATTTACATGGTGTAGCAGAAGGGAGATCATTRCTGTGCTGCAGTTTTCCTTCACTGAATCTTTTCTTTCCGATGTGTTAATATAGCAAACTTACTCCAAGTAACTCCAAAGAAAACAATCAGAATTGGTGCATTTTTACTATCAAATAAATACATGGTAATCAAAAGCTTTAAAATGCTTTCTCGTTGGCTTCTTAGATAGTAGTAGCTGTTGCCTGATTTTCATAAGCTAAACTCTCTCCTTGCTTTGCAGAGCAAGCTCGAGTTCCTTTGTGCTGCCTCTGGTGTCTGTGCTGCAGTTCTGGCATTGTCAGATTTCACGGGCCTTATGTTAAARTCTTCTAAGTCCTTTATTGGCTGCTGAAATGGATCACTTTGCTTGGAAAACCATTGTGTTGGCAGTCCTTCCCCYCACAGCCTCTCTGTATCCCAGGATTCCTGTGCCAGTAGACCAGGCTGGAGGGAATGGGTCGTGTGTTTTGAGCTACGACAGCCAATTTTAACRTCTAACTTAGTTTACATCCCTGCAGCTGCTGGAAATCAGCACCTAAATATTTCCAGATCTGGAACACAGGTGTTTCTATGCTTATACCAAGCAAGTCAAGCAGATTTTGAGAAAGAAATGAACCCCTAGCTGGCAATACCTGGATTTTCTAGCAAAGCTAACAAGCGAGTGTCACGTGGTCACTTGGCTTTTGGCACTTGCTCTTAGGAAACCAAGTCCCACTGCTAAACATTTCTTTCAGCTCCAAACGCTGCAGAGTGAAAATACCAACCTCAGAAGACAGGCCACAACCAATATCTATCAGGTGCAAGGTGGTTCTGAGTACCCTGACCCCAGCAGCAATTCCTCCCTAAAGCGGCGCCCGTCGGCCCGGGGCAGCAGGCCCATGTCCATGTACGAGACTGGCTCGGGCCAGAAGCCCTACCTGCCCATGGGGGAGGTCACCTACCCAGAAGAAAACATCACCAGGCTGCAGCCCTTCCCTCCACACGTGAGTAAAACTGCTGCTGCTTCTGCATTGCCTCTCATGTTCAGCTTTCCTGTCTCTTCTAGCTCTGCTCGTTCACTCAGCTTCTGCCACAGAGGGAAAAAAAATAACAGAGGGAATAAGAACTGTGAGAGTCGTTCATGTTTGCTGTATTAACATGTCTGCAGGAGCCTGCTGGTTTGAAAAGCAGAAGCTGTAGCARTTCTGGAATATATAAACTGGAGATTTTGGCTTCTGCTCAGCTGGGTTTTTTAACCACAAGATAGACATGTATCAAATATCAATATGTGATTGTCTGAAAACCAGAAAGGTGGGGAAAATAGTGTTCCAAGAAGGTAGGTAAAGKTCATGTATTTCTGGAGATATACAGGCAGGTACCAACTTGTGGAACTTCATAACCACCTTGCAAAAATAAAATTTTYCCCAGACCACCAGTTTCTTATTCTGAGTTTGAAACTGGGGGCTGGAGATGGTTTAGATCTKCCAGTCAAGCAGATTCTTCTGGTTTAGTGTTTTCCTGTGTGATGTGGAGAGGGAGTTCTCTGTTAGCCAGAGGGATTTTGCACTGTTCTCTGTTAGCCAGAGGTGTTCACACTTTACAGAAGTGACCCAACACACACATAGCACATTTAATTAACAAGTGCATTTAATTAACTGGTACAGTTAATTYTTTGTTTCACCTTCTTAGATTGCCCTGTGGGCAGGAATGCAGGACAGTATCTTTTTGACACACATTTAAAATGTGTGGACTTTTGACAATATCTTCCCCTCTTGGTAGAGGAAGGAAATACTTGTCTTGTATTTAAATACTTGTCTTGTATTTCCTTCTAGTTAAATCATTAAGACCTTTAAAATGTATTTTGAAGTTACCTTTGGCATGAGAGAGGGCAAATGTTCCATGCACATTCCACAGAAGACAGTTGAATTCATCAAGGAAATCAGTCCCCACCTTCAACTAAATTAATTTAAAGTGTGGAATCTGGGTCATTTTGAATTATATTGTGATGCTCATATGAAGGCAATTCTGACAGCAAGCAATGTCAGAATTCATTTGTGTGTGACAGTGTTTGCAAAAACGTGAGTGCTTTCTTTAGGTCATTTGGGTGGAAATTTGGGTAGGWTTGGCTGTTCTGAAGCATTGATATGTGGAGTTAGTTAATCTGGCATGTGGTGATTTATTTTTTTTATTCTCTCTGGAATTTGGCACCTCTGGAATCTCAGTATTAGAATGAGCATGAATTCAGAGGTATTTTGAAAGAAATAAGTCCACTCAGCCTAAGCCAGATTCTCAAGATCATTCTTGCTTTATGTCATCTTCATGGTTTTAAGAATGTTCCTTTATTTCAGTTAAGAGTTTGTTTGTGTTTTGTTTTTGGTTTTTCCCGAGTGTTTTTGTCTTTCCCATTTTTTTAGATCGGGAGGAGTGCGTTTGTGACCTCCTCTTCATCTCTACCTTCCTTCCCCTCCACGCTTTCCTGGTCGAGGGATGAGAACACACGAAGGGTTAAGTACCTTCCCCATCGGTCTTTTCCCTGGAGGAGGTGMCAATCTCCCCAGAACCACATCCTCTCTCTTCCCCCTCTCACTGCCTGGCCTTCCAGCCTGCATGGAGCAGAACTTCCTCCCTTCCATCCCTGCTACCACGAGCTGTGGGCGCTCACCTCTGTCTAACTTCACATCTTCAGCCTTTAACACCACGCACAGTTCTCCACGACAGCCACAAGACAAACTGGCTGCTGTTTGGACASTGATTTTCCAGGCTCTCACTGATATTTCTAAGCCAATGTACAACTCTCCTGCTGACTAAAAGCACTGCATGAGGCCCAGCATCGAAGCTGCTTTCCTTGGGGGCCGGTGGCTTGCACCAATCCAATGTTTACCTTACATGTGACAAGTTTGGGGGTTTACATGTTTACTCTGGCCTCTCCCTGCCAGGACACAGAACCTGCTTTTTAATTCCTTCTGTCCCCATTTTATTTTGACTGTACAGTGTTTGGACATATCAGAAAACACTAGATTTTATTATTATTTTATTCCTGAAAATATTAGATTTGCAAGTAGGGATAGATGATAAAACTTTCAAGGGAACATCCTGCTTGGCCAAATGGAAATCTGGGTTTGGCTGCAATGCTGTCTGGTWCTGCAAACTTGCAGAGGGTTTGGTTGGTTGTTTTTGTTCTACACTGATTCTGTATTAGTGATTCCATGGTATCCTCTTCTTGCAATTCATCACTGCTGTTTGTATTTCTGACCAGATGGCAGAGGTTTGCCACTCTTGGTGTTGTTGTCTCTGTACACCTGGGAGAGGAGAAAGTTCAGACTCTACAAATCATAGTTTCTTATCTTYGAAACAGATGCCACTTCTACAATTGATCTTTACCAGCTGTCCTGAGAGAGGAGTGTTCAAAAAATGCTGTTTTTTCCTTCTTTGCAAAGTAACTTTAAAATTGAGAAGGCTTCATAACTCCAGGTGCTTCAGTTAAGAATTGTTTGGTTTAGCATCAGATGAGTGCTTAACAAATGTGCTGAATTTCAACCAGTGAAAACCRGTTCCTGGTCACATTTTTGGTCTGTTCTCAAGGTAGAAGTATTATTTGGTAAGCAGATTCCTCAATGTTTAGCTCAGGGATGCTGATTGGAAGTGTCCCTTGCATTTTAACCCTTCAGATTCCCTCGTGGTAACTTCAGGGTTTCTGTAAGAGCCCCGGGGCTGTTTGTTGGGGCTGTGAAGGACCCTGAGCTGCTGCTGTGATCAGCATGGTGTGTTTTGTCTTTGGAATAAGACACCAACACACAGTGCTGTGCACCTGGGCAAAGCTTTGCAGTTTTTAGAAKACTTGAGGAGTCAGATGTGTGATGATCCTGGGGCCTGGCTGAGGATTTGGCCTCCAATCTCATTTTGGTACCTCTTTCTTCATTCAACCTTTGCTCTGGGATCAGCCTCCCAGCTGGATCAGCCTCCTCACCTTGCAGTGGTCCTGCAGTGCTCATTCCAACCTCTGTTTCCCTGCATTCATCCTGTTCCCATTTCAGCTCCCACTTTGGAATTGGCCCCTGCCCTCCTTTGGACACTTTCCTTCCGTGGCTCTCTGATCTGATGGTTGGGCCTCCTGCCCTTGTTGCATCCTGTGCTCTGGGRCACAGCTCTCATTTCTTTGGTCTCCCAACTCTCTGCCAGTATTAAAACATTTAGTGGGTCTCAATTCCTCACACTTTGGCTTTCCAACCATTTTGGATTCCTGTTTGCAATGGGCTTTAACCACTCTCATGTTGGCCCCCAAACTGTAACAAACTCATTGGCTCCAGACATGCCCTTGGTTTTCTACTTGTACTTTGGCCTCCCCATCTCTGTCTCCTGTCTTTATTTTGGCTTTCCCATTGCCACGGTCTTCAGCCCTTCTTTTGGGCTCCCATTTTGCAGTGGTCTTCCCAGGTCCAGCCTTCCACCAGTTGGTTTCCACTCTGTTCAGCCTCTCCGCCGTGATCTCTGGMCTCTGCTCTGCTGCCTTGGTGTGGCCTCTTCTCTGGTGTTCTTTCCTTCTCCAGTGGTTCTTGCTCACTSTTCAGGCTCCTCTTTCATGGTGCTGCTGCTCCATTTGGTCTCTGCTCCTGGTGGGTTTCTCAGTGTGTGCCCCTGGGGCAATTTCAGCAGTAGGGGAAGGATGCTGTGCTGTGTCTGTCTGTCCTGCCATGCAGTGTGTCAGGGGCTGGTGGGGCTGTGCTGTCCTGGTAGTGCCCAGGGTCTCAGGTACAAGCTGAGCAGGAGCCAGGCATGGGGAGAAGGGCACAGCAGCTCCATGGTAGCAGCCACTGTTGTGCCAAGAGCAAATCCACCTGCACGGGACACGGCTCTGGCACAGCCCAGGGCTGCTCCTTCCCACCCAGGCTGAAGCAGATCTGTTCCTTGCAGGCCTCCAAGCTGGAGAAGCAGAGCAGCGTGTCCGAGAGYGACTACGACAACCCCACCACCCCCGTGGAGCTGGAGGAGCCGGGGTAGGTGCTGTGACAGAGCTGGCACTGCTCCAGTGTGACAGCAGCCACTTCTGTCCCTGAGCCAACCTCCTCTTTGCTCCCCCGCAGGTCGGGCAGGAAGGGCCGGCAGCGCAGCGTCATTTGGCAGGGGGAGGGGTCCATCCCTGAGGACACTGACCCAGCCCCCAGCTCCAGTTTGCCCAGCACAGAAGATGTGATTCGGAAAACGGAGCAGATCACCAAGAACATCCAGGAGCTGCTGCGAGCGGCACAGGAGAACAAACATGACAGGTAAGGARCTGGAAAAGCACTGGAATTGGTGAGAAAACGAAGAAAATTCTTCAGATGTTTTCACCTGTAGYACAGGAGAAAGTAAAATACAGCCCCACTATTTCACATGCATAAAATGTGTAGGTCTGTGGTGTTTGCTGGTGTCCTGGTCTTAGTGCCACAGGGCAGGTTGGGGACAAGTGGCCAACACCTTTTCAGTAAGTTCTGCCTGCCCTGCCCTTAGCTTGTGAGTCCTGCTGCAAAATGTGTTGAAGTAAGATACAAATCAAATGTGTTGGAGAGAACTTGCTGCCAGTTTTTCTTGGGTCTTCACTCCTCTGTGTAGGTGATCACACCCTGCAGAATGTGATAGTAGCACCAATTCTTGCTTCAGAAAAATYGTGAAAAGGGAGAATTTGGCTTTCCTGCTGAGTTATAAGTACAAATTATGTACCAGCAAAAGGTATTTTGAGCTATTGGGTTYAGACACAGACCCAGCTGAGTAAGCAGAGCACTGACTGAGCACATCAGGCTGYCACAGCTCCTGCTCCCTCTGGGAGCTTCTGGCCCACCTGAACAATTTCCAGAATAGCTGTGGGTGACTAAAAGTGATGCTGCCCTTGCTGATCATCACATTGTGCTCCCCACAGAGCTCTTTTAGAAGGCTGTAAATCAGAGTTCCACATTCCCAGRTGTGAGCTCATTCTGGGGCTGGAGCACTCTGGCCCTGCAGGCTGGCAGGTCTGGCTCTGCTGTGGACCCAGCTCAGTGCCTGGGAGAAGCAGCAGYGGTTTGTGCTGAGCCCTCACTTCCTGCCTCGCTCAGAGAAGTGCACAACAATGGGGCCACTTTTGTTCTGTGTTTTTTCCTTCTTGTACTTTGCTATTTTTAGCAGGGCCGGCGTGGCCTCTCCTTCTCACGCCGAGTGACGACTTGTGCCGTGTTTGTGCTGAGCTCGTTGCCYTTGGCGTAACCTTTTCCACTGCAATCTCTTGTGGCTTGGTTCTCACAGAGAAGCTTTAAATTAGTTTCGTTTTTGTGTGTATCACACTAGGCAGCATGTGAATTTTTTTTTAATAATTGAAGCGTACCTGGATTTCATTGTTAAATTGATCRGGTTTTTAAAAAACCTGTTACGTTGCCTTTTTGTTTTCTGTACCACACGTGGAGTGGGGTGTTTGCCTATGCTCAGATGAGTGATGTCTTGAAAAACACTGAAGTACGTAGCTGCTGATCTTTGTTTTCCTTTTCCCTGGAGGAATGCTTCCTTACCAAAATGAGATCTTTGAGGATGTAATAACACATCCTCCAAGCTCATGCTGGCAATGTTGTAGAGAAAAGTCATGTGCTGCATAGATAACTGGAGAGTGAAAAAATTATTTAGGAGTGTCATCTGTTAATGAAACCCCTTGTTCCTTTTGTTTCTCACTCTCTCCCACCCCTCCTCGTGTGCTCTGCGGGCCGAGCAGGCCCTTGGAGCGTGCGGGCACATCCCAGCTCAGACACAGCCTCGGCACGCGGGTCCCCGGGGCTGAGAGAGCCCCKCTGCAGCCTCTGACCAGCCAGCAGCCCGGCCCTGCCTCCTGGTACTCTGGCCTCTGTCCCTGCCTCCCAGGCACAGTGTCCTTTCTCCTTCTCTCTGCTGCCTCTTTCCCTCCCACTCCGGCCGCACGGGGGTCGTGGAAGGCGATGCACGAAATGTTCCAGGGGATGAGGGGACTGCAGATAACCCATCCAGGCACCTTCAGCTCCCAGTAGGGACCAGTGGGGAACAACCACAGCCTGGAGCTGGAGCTGATGTAAATGATTCTCCTGTCCCTGTTCTGTTGATTGTCAATTGATAAATTAAATTGCCACAACTTCATTGGATCATGGAGTTACAGAATAGTTGGGGTTAGAAGGGACCTTCGAGCCCATCTTGTTCCACCCCCTGCCACGGGCAGGGACACCTTCCACTATCCCAGKTTGCTCMCAGCCTTATCCAGCCTGGCYTTGGACACTTCCARGGATGGGGCAGCCACAGCTTCTCTGGACAACTTGTGCCAGGGCCTCCTCACCYTCACAGAAATTAATTTCTTCCTTTAGGAAGRAATCTTTGGGGTTTGAAGGTCCCTCCCAACCCAAACCATTCTGTGATTATGTGAACAAAACACGTAGTTGCTGCTGCTGTGCACTATTGCAAAAGTAGCAGGATTTTCACATTCCCAAGCTGGAATATTYACACCTGACAGCTGAGGCCCCTCAAGTGTTTATATAGCTGGGGGTCAAATGAGATCTTTTGTATCCCAAATCCATGAAAGAAGGTATGTTTATATGGTATCTTCCAACTCAACCAAAATATTGTTAGTTAATACCTAAAATAAAAGTGACATTTGAGTGAGAGGCTCTTTAAAACAGGTGCCCTGGTGTAAACCCTGGCCAGCAAATGTCAGGATTGGAGGAAGAGATTAACACAGTTTACTGCTAATGAGGGATTCCTTTTCCAAGCTGTCACTGCTTGAATATCTTCCTGATGTCTCACAGGAATGTGTGTAAACCCAGCAGAGTGTCAGAGCATTTCACCAGCTCACAGTGAGTGTTTAGACATTAAACTGAAGSCATTCCTCCAGGCCACACTGGAAACTTTGCAGCTGACCTGGAGAACGTGCRATGAAACACGTGTTGTTCACCTGGGTGTCTCATTCAGGTTATTCTTAGGGCTTTCTCTGCCTCCTTAGTGAAGGGTTTAATCAGTAAATTGCCTTTTTAATGAGATAGGTGCTGGTCACTGTGGCTGCAGGGYGCAGATTATTCATTAACAGCAGAAGGGGAATTGTGGTGAACTTGGAAGACCTCTCTCCACTTTTAGTTTATTTGGAAGAACTCATGTGACTTGAGACACATGGAAATACTCATTTTAAAGCAATTTTCCTGCATTGCCAAAATGACCCCAGTGTGTTGCTTCTCTCTAGTGCATTTGCAAGTGATTGATTTTTTTGCACCTTTGGTGTTGCAAGAAGATCGAATAAATAATGACTGGGGGGCAGGGTTTGGGGCCTCTTTTTGCTTGAAAGGGCACTGACCTACCATAACACACAGATGCTGAATAGTTTTCTTGAATGCTTTGTGGTTTTTGAGATTCTYTTGCTTAAGATTGAATCACGTGAACTAACTTAGGCTAAAATCGAGTCTTTGAAGCATAAAAATGAGTCTTTTGAAATGAGACTTTTGAGAGAGCACACTAACACTTCACTGTGCACAGCAGTTCATGGTAAATAGTTTTAAGATCTATTCTGAACAGACCAATTTTCATTTGGTTTATAAATCAGAAGTGAGGACTGATGGAATCTACCTTTGTTTTATTAACTAACTCACCAAAATGAGTGAATATTTAGCCTAGAACTCACARACTGAATGTAGCTGGTAGATTARGGATGCATGTGTGTGAGAAATGTGYCTTGTCTATTTACTGGGTATGAATTAATCCAAGAAATCATYTTGGTGCTCTGAAGTTGCACACAAACTGAGACTTTCCTGAGAATATTTTATATAAAAAGTGTGGGCAGTTATTCCTTCAAACCACCTCTGAAGAACAATGAAAACCTAAGAAATAATTTTGCACTGTTGGTTAAGTTCTTGCTTTTTCTGAAGCCACGTGGTTGTTTTTAGAATAACAGTCACTGAGCARTGAACTGGAAAAGGGGAATCTCTGCCCAATGAATAACTCAGGCATCTTTTTGCAGCTATATACCGTGCTCCGAGAGAATACATGTGGCAGTGACAGAAATGGCAGCCTTGTTCCCAAAAGTAAGTACCTGTCACCATCAAAATGGTTTTGGCCTCGTTCYTTCTGTGTAATTTCCCTTCAGAATGACAATCAAAAATTACATCCCTTCAAAATGAAAAGCCAAAGGTAGGGAGAAATGATGGGGTTATGATGCACCTTTGTGTTTATTAGCATGGCAACTGGGAAGGGCTAAAGTGTGAGTCCARGCCTTTAATTGTACTCATGAACTTAAAACTCGTAAGAATTGCACAAAACAGGAGGTATTTGCATCTGGCATGAAGAGCTGTGTGTTTATATGAGAATGTCACCAGACTCATCACCCCCTTTTCCATCCGAGTGCCATTGCCTGGATTTCTTTCCTGCAGCCATGTTTAGATCTGTTATCCATCCACAAAAATGATCTATTTTCTCACAGCAAATTTAGGGAGTGAAATCCCCATGGCTGAGTTTTTGGAAAGTTTTACCCCCCTCTCCAAAACTGCTGAGGAAAGAGCTGTTGTTCTGGCTGCACCGATTGTTCTGGACACGCTGTCCCCTCCTGGACACACTGTCCCCTCCTGCCAGCCAGGGCGTGGGCTGGGACAGTAAACAGGCACCAGAAATGTGCATGAGTAACTTCCTAAGGGAAGGCACAGAGCAGTATTCCCTGGCAGCCTTTTGGAATCTCCCTGAGAGGAGAAATTCAGCAAGAGAAGGGAAAGGCAGAGCCTGGCCGCATCAAAGAACCCTTGTGAGCTAATTAAAAGGTTGCGTTGTTCTGCCTGGTTCCAGCTTCTGTTTTCCCCTCCCAGAAGCCCAAGTCGGATCTGGTGAGGACTTCCCTGCGCCTGCTGACATCCAGTGCCTACAGACTGCAGTCGGAGTGCAGGAAAGCGCTGCCYGCCGAGCCCAGCGCCGCGCCCGACATCCAGCTGGTGACACAGCAGGTCATCCAGTGCGCCTACGACATCGCCAAGGCTGCCAAGCAGCTGGTCACCATCACAACCAAAGAGAACAACAACTGAGGCACTCGGGGCTTTTTACTCTGGGGTTTTGGTTTTTTTTGGTTTTTTTTTTTTTTTTTTAAAGGTTGGATTTCAACATATAGGTGTGGAACTATATGCGCATTTTTATGAGGAAAAACTTAAAGGGGCAAGGAACTTTTTTTTTTTTAAACTCAGTATTATTTTTGCATGTTTTCTAACAATTTTATGATTAATTTAACCCACTGCCTTATTTTGTGCCTGTGTTGCCAGTGTAGTTATGGATAATAGCATGTTGCAAGTAGCTGTCGAGCCACTCTCATGTCCCAGCGCTGTATCGAGCTCTTGTAGATGTTTCCTTGGGGCCACGTTCTGCTTTCAGATCCTGCTGGTGGGACTRCTCTGACACCACTGCACGGATGGGAGGGCAGCATCTCCGTCCCTCTGGAGCCTCCCCTGCCAGGATCCCGCTGGCTGAGGCTCCCCAGGCTCCGGGACTGCTCCCAGCAGGAAGAAGGTTTGTCCTGGTAAAGAGGTACAAGCCCAACGTTCTCTGTTCCCATATCAACTGTTGTGCAATATGTTTTTAGTCTGCTAAACCAGTAGTAGTTGTGGGCATCCAAGCTTGTTACGTGTAACTCTACAAGGTCTTTGTCACTTTATCTGTTTTGGAAGGAATTTGAAACTTAATAGTTATTTCTTTTAGTTGTCACTATGCCATTAATATATATGTTTGATGTTACTTTAGGGCATTAGTGGTTAAAATATTATCCTTTGTTTCTGAGTTAGTAATTCATTGTTAAGTTTCCTGCAGAATTTTCCTGTCATCTTTGAGGCACCGTCTTGTTTGGCAGCAGCATTTCTCAGTAACTCCAGATGCAATTTCTCAAAGATTTCTGTGCTCGTTAACAAAAAAAGGAAGTTAGAAGAGTGCCAGTGCAAAAGCAGCTGTGTCTGCCACAGCACATAACCTCTGTACCTCAACATATCCAAATGTGAGAACATTTCTTGTATCTCCTACGTTTTTAATGCAAATCTTCCAAAATTTGACAACTTGCTGAGTAACCCCCGCCAGGCTGCCTGGCCCCAGTGGCCACGTGTGCCCCAGGTTTCTTCATCCATAACAGTTCACAACAGTGTGTCAGTCCATAATTTCAAAAATGAGGATTTTTTTCAGTATGAATTTCAAGTGGTGGAGGAAATCCCTGATTTTTGCCTCTGCCTGTGTCCCATTTAGAAGTGTATTATCACTGCCCAGAAGCAGCCACRGTGTGTTTGTGTGGATAAATCCAAGCACAGGTGCCATAGCACTGCTGGATTCTTTGATGCTGGCTCT